AAAATTTCCGTGTCGTGACACCCAAGCAGTGGAACGCTGTGTAAAACTGGTTATAACCAGTATACTGAATCTTCAGACTCGGTTTGTGGATCGGAAGCAAGAGATGGTTTCATCAGAACAAGAATTAAAGTCAGAAAATAATTACCAAATTTTTATACCAAATGTCAGTATTTTCGCGAAAAAGAAGATCTCATTTCTACCAATAAACACTCCTGAAGTTACTTAAAGCATATGATTTACTATTAAATATGTTTACGTTTCACGTTAATTTTACTAAAATAAATTTTTTATTTATAAATAATGCTATTTTTATTACTTTGATTAAAGTAATATTTTTTTAGAATTTTCAAAACTTCGAGACTGATGCGCCACCTCAAGATATTAAAAAATTGGAATATTTTTTCGATATTTATTCATTTTACGCCTTTAGTCAACAATTAATAATATAGGAAAAATCAATTATTAAATTTAATAAAATTCACTCCACCCTAATACACATCATGTAATACCTATTAGGTATTAATAATAATAATCTGAATACAAGCACAGGCATTTTATTTGTTTTTTAGAGGAACTAGAGATCATACGATAATACCAATTAAGTCACTCTTAATTACTTTATTGGGTTGTGACAGTTCTTTATGAATATAAAATAAAAATAAAGATTTAATCTGTTCAGTTTTCTCGTTACCTGCCTGCTTGCTGCCTTGGCCTGATTTTAACGAATAAATTTGCGGTTTAATAATGTTTTTATTTCATGTAGGTACCCAAGTAATTATCACATCAGGAAATGTACGAAATCTGATTAAATGTATTGTAGTGTTTTAAAATTAGTACCACAAAAATTGTATTCAAAGTTTTTTTATTTTTATAAAAAAATTGTTTTACAACTTTTTAACAAACAAATTAACAATTTATCTGGATATGTTTAGATAATAGATAATATATTATACTGTATAATACTTATAAGTATTGTAAAAGGGGTTACTCTCTTTTAAATAATTTTGTTTCAAAATTACCATATATCTTATATAAAATTACAAAAAATATAAACTTTATTCTTACCAAATTGTCCATTGTTACAACACACATTTATCCATTTAAATAACCCCTCTAAACTATTTTTACCCCTTAAACTGACGTAAACAGCAAATAATTCCCATAAGCAGACCACCATCGGAACACTTAGGTCCTTAGGACCAAATATTTATGTCCACACAATTATTTGGCAATTCATGGCCATTATAACTGAAGCCAAAACACCGTATTAGCTTCATATTCATGTCCGCCTTCTGGCATCAATAACACGGGGTCCTAAATGGCCCCATAATAAGTCGTCGGTGTCCCAACGGTCCCATATTTCACCTCCCTAATGTCCCGGACCAACTTCGCTAACTGCGCCACAATTGCTCTAATTACAGACAAATGCTCGGCCCTTTTAGGAGGGAGCCGAAAGTAAGAACAAAGTGTTTTAGTGCTCGAACACCGGAACGTTCTGGATCTAATTAGATGAGCAGTTATCATATTTGGCACTGTGACAGTTGGTTGGGAAACAAACTATTATTTTCGTATTTTCAGAGGGTCTGCTATGTAAGGTAATAAGTCACTTAAATTGCGTTTTTATAGGGCAGCATAAGATGGTTTCTTTTATTATTTTAATTTGTTACTACAAGTACTAAGTAGTTTTAAATAGAAGAATCTGCGTTTACTTCGTGAGAATGGTTTTAAAAAATGTAAATATAATGTATACTTGTGCCGAATTGTACTCGATATTTTATGGTTTTGTAGGTTTTAACAGATTTAAGTAATGCTGGAAATTTAATTATTTAAAATATTAAAACTAAATATATCTATATATAACAATGTTTAACTATAAATCTTAAAATGTTAGAAGGTAAACCTTAATTAACAATTGGTAATTTCAGTTTACTTTCACCATTTTAATATATAGTTTTAATATTTTTAATTTAAATTGTAGGTAAATAGTAGATAATATTATATAATTCCTAAACACTGTACTGTAAAAATGGCTACTAAGAGAGTTTTCTTAGGTAAGCAAAAATCATGTTAAAAGCTTGAAAATTCGTGACTTAGTTAACATAATATGTAATAGAATAATATATAATAATATTTGTTTCAACTCCCATACTTTAATTCGTTTATTGGACATTTCATACCTGATTCATTATAAAAAAAAATCGATACCGATTTTTAACAAATAGAAATGCAAAACACGGCAATATTAATCAATGAAAATGCGATACACGTGTACGGCAAAATTCTGTTGCCTTGGACATCAGATCAGTTGTCAGATGACAGATCTAAAACTTTAATATTGTTGAAATTTAAATTAGTGAACATGTGCTATAGTGAATGTAAAATTGAAAATTTAACCCCGCCAGAAATTGCAACAGGCCGCAAAAACAGCAAACAACCCACGGGTAGTAAAATCAGCAGAACTAAACATTTTAGAATAAAAGTGTTAATTTTCTACTTAATTATGATAGTCGTAGAAAAAAATAGTGTATGCAACGTCCAATTAATGAAATATTGAAAAACTCGCACTCATTATGTATATAATGATAATATAAATTATACATTCTGTATATAATAATTACCATTATAATGAACCGATGTCAATTTAATATTCACTGCAGTGATCACATGTGATAAATCAAACTAATCAAATTTAAACCAATCGGGTTTTAAATTGGAAGATATAATTTAATAATATTTAAAATTGGTAGAAAGTAGGGCTGTACAATTTAGCCGGTTAAGCCGGCTAAAAAAGTTAGCTAAGTTAATTAGCTAGCTAACTGATCAGCTTAGCTAATTTAACCGCTTAAATAAATTAGCTTCGCTAATTAGCTGGCGGCTTAACCGATTAATCTAGCTTAGCTCGGATAAACGGCTTTTTTAAGCTTTGTAATGATTTCTTATTCATGTACATTTTCAAAAAATAATAATGTTGATGTTGCTTTTATGACAAACAATAATTAATAATAGAGTAATTTATTGGGTTAAATAATATTTAACATTTTATTTTTGGTTTTTAAATTAATTAAATCATTAAATAGCTTTAAAAAAATTAGCCGTTAGCTAATTAGCTGAGCTAAGCTATATCTATAGCTGGCGGCTTAACCGGTTAATCTATAGATTAACCGGTTAAGCCGCCAGCTAATTAGCTAAGCTAATTTAGTTAACCGGTTAAGCTGATCAGTTAGCTATCTAATTAACATAGCTAACTTTTTTAGCCAGCTTAACCGGCTAAATTGTACAGGTTGCAGATTTTTTGTAGGTAGATATTTATTTTTGAAAATCATTTAAATATATACTAATAGTAGTAGATAATAGTATAATATTAGACGAGAAATAATCCAGGCTATTATTCACGATGAGGTTTGCGTCTCGAGTCCTTATACGAGAGACTTAAATAATCCGAGTAAAGTGAAGTGAATGCGCATAATCTCAAGTGTAATACTATACTTTATCTACTTTAATAAGTAGGTAATTAAACGATTTTCAAAAATAATGAAATAAAATCTGACATCTGTCAAATGGTTAACCTCACTTTTTACCAATTTTAAATGTTATTATAGTTGCCTTTTCCCAATTTAAAACCCGATTGGTTTAAGTCACAGTAAATATTAAAATCGGTCATTCAACAACGTGAATAATGAGTTCATTATTTCCGTTGCTATTTATAATGTTTTAGGTATTATTATTCACGAAAAAAAAATATTATGCAATAGGAGTAGATATAGTATTAGACTATAGATGCCCATTATTCACTCGAATGAATAATAGCCTGCATTATCTCTATTATTGACATAAGTTGAGTTTTTTCCTATATAATATTAACCATTATAACCGCTCCTCCCTTAAATATGCTATTATGCTTGTAAATAAATTAATGACAAAAAGCAAATAAAAACTAGTTTTTCCTTGTTTTTTGTCATTGTCATTTTTTAATTTTTTTTTTGTAGTAATTAATGTATTGAAATAATACAATGTTTATTTCTAGTTATAGGTATATGAACTTTATAAAGATTATGTTTATAACCTTTAAAGTGTTTATGTCAAGCGAATAAATGTAATTTATTTATTAATTTAAATTTTACTTACCTACCTACTTTTCATGGTAATTTTATAATTTTGAATTACAAAATTCATTAAAAAATATTACTATGTAAAAAGATAATTTGTTTTTGTAATGTAAGAATGATATGGTATTTTTATTAATAATATTTGTTTTATAACAATTTTTTGTTATATCATTTTTATATATTAAAATTGTATCATTGCTTGAAGCTATATTTACTTAAAAACATGAAAAAATCTAAAAATTGATTATATATATGAGTCAAAAATATGGATTAAATATATTGGTCAAAAATGACTACTTAATTGACAAAAAGTCAATAATAGCTTCACTCCACATCTATTTGTGTACCGGACAGTTAACAGCCAATTCATATGTAAAATTGTCCGCTAATTCAAAAAATGTCATCAAAAGTTATGAAAGTATAGCAGTTTTTGGGTTATAAGTAGTCAATTCCATATTATTTGGAAAATTGACTATATCTCAAAAACTTTTCTACTTTTATAACTTTTGACGAAATTTTCTGATTTAGCAGACAATTTTACATAGAAATTGGTTGCTAAATTTCCGACATGCAAATTGCTGTTGACTAGAATTATAAGTGGCTGCTTTTTCGCTATGACAATTAGTTATTTTTGACTAATTCATTTTAAGAGAGTAGATAGTGGTTTTTTGTAAAATCAGTAAAATTTAAAGCATAAATAAATGAGATTGATCATGCCATTTAATATCTTTCTTATAGGATAATATCTGATTACACATTACATTTATGCTGTTATATTTTACTTTGGGAAATTTGGTTAATATTTTTTAATAATAGACTTTTTATAAGGAAGAACAATTATATTTATCAACAATATTTACACAGAACATTGCACATGATGCTAGTATCTAAAAATGTTTATAGTCAGTCTATTTCGAAGGCTTCATAATAAATAAATAAAACAGCAAAAATTAATTCCTACATGCTCATAAATATTATGTAAACATCGTAAATCGAACGCGGTAATCATTGAAACATTTATTTTTCGAATAATCGGATTAAACTTTTTGGTTGTGACAAATTGAATTTGTTTGGTTTCAATGGCCATGCGAGCGATATTTATTTTATATGCGTACGTATCGGATACATGATATAATTTATCTACACTATACATTATTTACATGTCGCTAAATCTAATTTGTATAAAATAAATACACTAGAATCGAATCGAGATCGTGATATGAATATGTACAACAATTAATTACGAGGACATGGGCATGTCGTCCTCATCACAGGACACTGTAGTGTGATTATACAATCCTTGCGCCATCAACTGCAGGGCCAAAGGATTCTTTTGTCCGGAGGATTTCTTGATTTTGGCTCGCTTATTTTGGAACCAAATTTTAATTTGAGCTTCATTCAAACCCAATTCAGCGCTGAGCTGCTGTCTTCGCCTTTCTGTCAGATAACGGTTCTCGTTGAACTCCTGCTTGAGACGAGCCAACTGGGCACTGGAAAAAGCCGTACGAGGCCTTTTATCTTCACTTGGTGCTGCCTTTGTGGTGGTCGAAGTAGACGGTTTTTTTGCTCTGCGAGAACGTGGACCTATAAAGAAAAAAGTTTATCAGTAAGTTGCATTGTTTCAACGCCCAGATAATTAATTTTGTGTCGAGTTATGAAATACTATTTTTATTTTAAAGTCGTTTTAAAAATAGCGCATTTAAAAAGCACTTAAACTAGCGCTGATAGCTGCCCATATGGGTTGATGATTTATTATGACGCGTTGACGTATTGATACACCCTTTAGATATTAATTTTATTGAACCTTATATATCACTCGTGAGTCTATATATAAATCTAAGTCTAAAAATACACGACCTTTTCGGTAGTGATCTGATAATGAAATGCGGTAGCTTTAACTAATTGCCTTTGAAATGTCAAGTAAGAAACAATGGGTTTAATGTGATGAATCTCGGTCGTTAGCGAGCAGGTATAAAATATGTGCTGCCATCTATTGTCTTACCTGATGAAGGTCTGTCTGAGTAGCGGGTGCAGTAAACCCAAGCGGGCCACAATTGCGGAACATCGGACTTTTTCACATCCTCTGGATTCGGCAACAATTTAACTGGCGATTTCGCTCTTGGGATTGGTTCGGGCGATCTGGCTGTCTGTCCTATTTGAGACACAGTTTGGCATAGACTTCCCAACGGGGCCACGGGGAACGGTTTTTCCTCTTCTTCGTATGGCTTAAAGTTAATTTTTGGACTAGTTTTCGTTTTTATTGCGTTTTTCCCAAACTCCGGTTTCAGTATGTTGGTGATCGAATATTTTAGAGTTTGGATTGTGGGTTCATTTTGAATTGCTGGAGAAGATCTGCTAGAAACACTGTCAGATGGCGAGGGCGATCTGTAACTGTAGTCTTGAGGTGACTGCCTATCCATTTCCCTTTTAGGACTCGACAACGCAAAAGAAGTAATTCTGAAGAAGGACCTCTCAGGCTCAACCTTCGGTATAACATAATGCGGCGACGTCGAAGGACTGCTGACATAACTCCTAGAATTATCCTGCGAAATAGTCATGCAAGTGTACGGCGAAGTCCTTGTCGATTCCGGTGAATTGGGCGAATTTATCGCCGCCTGTGTGGTGTCACTGCGTGGACTTGTAGCCGTGTTCGGACTCGATCTGTCTTCGAAGGCCATAATAAAGTTCATTCAAAACACACACTTAAAAAAAACCAACACTTGTCTAGATGTGTCCGCTCTTGCCGAGATCAAGTGTTTACCTCGAAAAGTACGCTGTCAAACTGAGTGAGTTTTCAAAATAGTCATCTTTATTACAAGAGGATCAGACCGAGCGCACCGCCCACCAGTGCATGCGCCGCTATGCTCTATCCTCTGTCTCTCTCCCACCACCGCGCGGCCCCTAGAAATACGTATGTCCGACGACACAGTGTTGCCAACATGTCAAACTTTACACAACATTGGTTACAAAGATTTAATTATTACTAATTTTGACCTAACTTGATGAAATTTTAGAATTTCCTTATTTTATAAAGTCTCTCTTTATGCGTTAATTTTTTAAATTAAGAATTTTTTTTAAATTACCAATATTTGTAATGCTCTTCTTCATCCAATGTATCTTTAAGAAACCCTAAATTTTTAACCATAAGGCACTTCAGAAAAACCTGAAGATAATTATCTAAACTTTTAACTATACATCATGTTAATTTAAGACATTTTTAATAATTTTAATAGTACTCTCCACCCTAAAACGCCAATACCAAAAATCCCAAATTTTCAACCATAAAGCCTGAAAACCATCAAGTTCAACCATGTTAATTATAATGTATCAAATATAACAAAAAATAATTCGTCTTGATTCCTGAACCAAATCCCAAATTATTGATTTGCCAGAACATATCCCACTTCAGTGGCAACATCTCACTTAGCTCCGGAACATCTGCCAATGACAAAAAGGGCGTGTCCACGAATACTGGTTCACCATTGGTGGAAAACATGTTGGAGAGGGCTCTGGTAGCAAGATTGAGACGTAAGCGTGTTAGTTTTTGCCGATCCAAGGCGGAGTTAGCAATGTAAACGTTTGTAATTCAATATGATACACAAGTGGGTATGAATTAATAAGTGGTTAGATAATGGTTTTATCAATCTGTCTCTCCGGGTAAATAATTGACAGATTTCTGACGCTTACTGGTTGTTATTAAATTGTTAATGCTGTTGAATCAATTCACGGTGTAATTAATAATAGGTGTGGACGATAACCTATATGTAGATATGTTTAAAAAAATAAAAGCCAAAGTTTTGGTAAAAATTGTTTAAAATAAATTTAGTAGGTGTAGGTAATATATTTTAATAAAATTGAATATTTTTAATAATAAAGAAACTTTAATTTAATTTTTCTAAGAATTCAATTTAATATTTTTTTTGCAAGCGCACAATAATTTTTATATTATAACACACATAAGTCTATATAGAAAGACTTTATAATAATACTAGTTCAAAAGTCAACTTATTATTAATCTCCGTACAGAAATATGCTAAAATGACATCATGACAGTTAAATCCAACCTAAAACTGATAAATCTTGGAAAATAATTTAATTAAATGCTTACAAAAATAGTCTATACAACCCGGCGGTAAAGGCTTAGTAATTTCGGATATCGCCTCGCAGATAGTTTCTCAACGGATTATCATAGACCACGTTGCATCCATCATTTTATTATATTATATTCTGAGAATAACAAATTTAATTTTGTTTTCTGCATATTTTTTTTGCACAAAATACATAATATATAATAATATATTCATAAGTAGAAATGGAAAAATAAACATTTAGGTAAAACCCCTTTTTTGTTTTTTTTGTCTTTTTAAAAATTTTAAAGATATCGAAACTTAAGTCATCAAAATTTTAGCAAATGTCAAGATTAATAATGGTTTGGTAATTAGATACTATTTATATTAATAATGTTTTTTTGGATCATTTTATTTATTATTTATTAAAATTATTTTTGCTGAAATTTTGAATTTTGATGACTTAAAATATTAATTTTAGATTTTTTTTGCAGAAGACTAAATTTCCTACAAAAAAATTATTAACCTTTTTCTCAGTCAAGCGTTTAAAAGTTAACAGCAAAAAAACATTTTTTAGGAAATCAAACTTTGAACTAATAAGTACTTTAATATTGGGCTTTTATTTAATCAAACGAAAAAAAGCAATATTTACCTACATACATAATATGTAATTTTTTTTCCATTCGAAAAGTATTTTCATATTATGTACATACTTTTCCAATGGAAAAAAAAATTAACGACGTTTCAGTTCTAAATTTTTTAGATTTTTGACTTTTTTTGTGAAAAACTAAATTTTCCTCAAAAAATGCATTTAATTTTTTTAAAGTCGCCATTTAAAAGTTTTTGCTAAAATTTTAAATTATATTTTACTGCTAAATTAAATTTGTTTTCTTTTCAAAAAAGGTGCAAAAAGGCCAAGACTATGCTTGATTGGATAAATAAATAAGTTAAAAAACATTAAATGTAAAAAAAAAGTTAAAAAAGGTAAAAAAATGTAAAAAAGCAAAAATGAAACAAAACAAAAAAGTTTTTTTTTTCACTTATATTTTGCGATTTTCCACATTAAAATATTTATTAGTAATAAAATTATTTCAGTTTTTTAGAACCGGGTAATTGAAAACTGCACATTAAAATCTGTCAAGCCAATTTTAGACACCTGTTACGTGGCAAAAAGGTAAAAAAAATGACATGTGTCAAAAATAATAGCTGTCAAAATGAAAGGTGTCAAAAATACCAGACGTCATCTCGAAGTTTTTATAACACTTTATTAACTAGCACTAGCACTAGTATTGGTCTATCAAACGCTTTAAAAAGGTCGTTTCACTCCATTTAATTTTGATTTTACTAATATAAATTAAATAAATAAAACTGTTAACATTGAAAATGCTGAATTTCTAAACCTAAACAATATTGCATGCATAATGATTAGCGGTTATATAAATTAATTTCAATTGTAATTTTTTTACGCAAAAATATATTATTAAGAAATTTTTAATAAGAATAAATTTTATGTTTGATTATAATCATCATAATTATCAAACTTTGATAATTATGTTTTTAGTATAGTATAGGAAACTGTTTTTTATTTATTTAAGACACAATATTCTATATCCTGTTCTATAGAATATTTAACAGTATCTAGTATAAAATTATTAATTTGTTGTAAATATTTAACAATAAAATATAAAACAACCAAAACACAAAATCTGTATGTTAATTAATTTAAAAATATAATTTAAATTACTTAGGTAAATGGGAAGTCAAAGAGTCACAAAAATTTAAATATTTATAACCCAATAATGCATTAACATTCTTTACTAATTTTTATAACACCTGCAAATTTAAATATCATCTTTAAATTCACTTAACTAAAGCTTATTTATGTTTTCTCAAAACATTTATTTCCACTATTCGGAAATTTTGCATGGTTACGCCGATTTAAAAGCCAGGTAAACGGATTCAGAAAAGGGCAACCTGACGGTGCATCGAAACGGGATGAAATCAGAAAAGCGAATATTGGTGCCTAAGAGACAAATATTTTGTCGTATTTTGACAGGTGGGTGTTTAGATGTTTAGACACGCTACGGCTCATTAACATTTAGAAGTTAAAAGCAACTGTTCAGTTTTTTTAGTTGAAATAAAAGAATAACTACCTATACAGTAAGTAAGTAATAAATTATGTGTTGTAAATTATAAGTTGTAATGTACCATAAGAAGAGTGGAAAATAAGAGATTAAAATTGATTGATTTAAAAAGAAGAAAATGTATAAAAAATTGTGGATATTCAAGAAAATTTATGATGTAGGTTTAATTAAAAATATAAAATATAATACCAAAATAGTGAAAATCTTGGACATCATAGAAAAAATAAGATAAAAATACCCAAAATAAAAAAATACTTTGAAATCAATTAGTTAACAGATTACAGTTGGAAACTTAACATAAAGTTATGTGGACCTGGATTAACATAAAATCTGGTTAATATTTGGTTAAAATTAAGAAATAATTTTTACTGTGTAAAGTTCTAATCCTAATATTGATTGAATTAAAAATCCATTATGATATGCATATGTAAATAAAAATATTGAAAGAAATAAAATCATGTTTGTAAAAAAAAAAGAATGAATGTCCTCTTTGGCAAATATCAGTTCTTCTTTTAGAAGACTAATAAATAAAGCATTGCAATTATATAAACCAAATCATAAAACCTAACCCGATATAAAGAGCCCATTTATCAACAGAAAAACTGTAAAGAAAATCACTCCCACACCTAGTTCTGCTCTGTCAAACAGGATGCCGCATAGGACCTACGTGATCGTTATTGCGGCAAAGTATTTTCTCATGTACGCACGCATCAAAAAAATGACAAAATATTACACTAAACATAAAAAAAGAGAAGAGAGGATCTTTCCGTAAGCGTTGCATCATAAATCAATTCAACTCAGGTGGGCTCGCAGAGATGAGATATCTGCGACAATGGTCGCCCATTGTCATCGTCGTAGGTGCCTGCGGTGACAGAAGAAGTCATTCACTATTGTCGAGCGGGCCGTGGTGTCACCCTGGCTTGATTGTTTGCCCGGTGACCTTTGAGTTTATGAAGCATCACAGAGATCAAAGGGTGCCTTATTATATTGGTTTAAAACAATGGTTTCGTTTGACATTATTTTTAATAAAATATATATTTATTGATTAATTTTTAAAATTTACAAAATTTGAAAAAAAATTTTAAATTAAAAAAAAACATCTTTATAGATGTGTCTTTTGAAAGAACACATATTTATGGAATAAAGCTGAAACGTGAGTCTTTTTGTGCTGAGCTGAAAGTTTGAATACCAACGCGTAGCGAAGGCCTACTATTGACATACATTTTATCTTCAAGGCATAATTTTATTTGTTAACTCTTTGAGGACAGATTAATTTAATAAAAAATATTTTTTTTTAAATTAATTAATTAGGTGATAATGGTTGTAAAAATAAAAAGAATATAAACTCTAAAGTAAGAAAAAATGGTGGTTCTCCGCACTGTATGAAATGTTTCCATTCTCATCTTCTCCATCTTCAATAACCTCTTCCCCTATTACTGCATTTTTTTCTTTATCATCTGATTTATAATCGTTTTCGTTGTCATCTTCTTCATCTTCAGTAAACTCTTCCTCTTAACTGCAATGTTTTCCTCTTCATGATTCATAATTGCTGGCATATGCAAAAATTCCTTCTGATATAGAATCCAATATTGGATTTTATATCAAAAGAAATTTCTTTGATA